CGGCGTCTACAACCTCACCGACAACGGGCTGGGCCACGCCTTCGTGGCAGAGATCGGCTCGCTGCGGGCGCTCAACCTGAGCCTGTGCAAGCAGCTCACAGACAGCAGCCTGGGCCGCATCGCCCAGTACCTCAAGGGCCTCGAGGTGCTGGAGCTGGGCGGCTGCAGCAACATCACCAACACGGGCCTGCTACTCATCGCCTGGGGCCTGCAGCGCCTCAAGAGCCTCAACCTGCGCTCCTGCCGCCACCTCTCTGATGTGGGCATTGGGCACCTGGCAGGCATGACTCGAAGCGCAGCGGAGGGTTGCCTGGGCCTGGAGCAGCTCACACTGCAGGACTGCCAAAAGCTCAGCGACCTCTCGCTAAAGCACCTGGCCCGAGGGCTGGGACGCCTCCGCCAGCTCAACCTTAGCTTCTGTGGGGGCATTTCAGACGCAGGGCTGCTGCACCTGTCGCACATGAGCAGCCTGCGCAGCCTCAACCTGCGCTCTTGCGACAACATCAGCGACACAGGCATCATGCATCTGGCTATGGGCAGCCTGCGTCTTTCTGGCCTCGATGTCTCCTTCTGTGACAAGGTGGGGGACCAGAGCCTAGCCTATATCGCACAGGGCCTGGATGGGCTACGTTCCCTCTCCCTCTGCTCCTGCCACATCAGCGACGAGGGCATCAACCGTATGGTGCGCCAGATGCATGGTCTCCGCACGCTCAACATTGGCCAGTGTGTCCGTATCACTGACAAGGGCCTGGAGCTCATTGCGGAGCACCTCAGTCAGCTCACAGGCATTGATCTCTATGGCTGCACCCGCATCACTAAGCGGGGCTTGGAGCGCATCACCCAGCTGCCCTGTCTTAAGGTGCTCAACCTGGGACTTTGGCAAATGACTGAGAGCGAGAAGGTCAGGTGAGAGGAGGGGCTATCTGGAGACCTCCATCCCCTCTGGAGGGACTCGCTGACTGAGACTGCTGCAGTGGAGGAGATGCAGTGAGAGTGGAGGGGGGGGCATATACAGAGCCATGCTACCCACCCACTCCAGCACTGGAAGGAGGGAGGGATAGAGAGAGACCACCCCATTCCTTACATGTCCCTATTCACCTCTGCACTGGCTGAGGCAAGAGAGGGAAGAGAGAGTGCCCCTATTTCTTCTGTGTCATCCTTAGCCCTCCATTAAGAATACAGTACCCCCCTTCCTCAGTCTTCTTTGCAGTGGGGATAGAGGGTCACAACTTTATGCACTGGGGCTGGAGATACCCCTCCCACTGTAACTTTTATTCTACCCCGATGCACTAGGGATGGGTGAAGGTGGTCCCCCTATTTTTATTCACCTCCAGTCCTGCTCAGTTTGGGGAATAGGGATTTTCTCTAAAGGGGTGGAAATGGACATGGTAACAGCTTCTTCCTCTCCCTCACCAAGCTTCTTAGCTGAATGTTCCATACACACTAACACCAGTCCTTCACTGCTACAGAGACAGTCCCTCATCATACCATTCCACTTCCCCCCCCCCCCATCCCAACTGGGGATTGTGACAGAAATAGCTCTCCTCAGCTATACATATTCATCTATTTCCAGTCTCACGCCCACCTTCCCTGCTACACCCTTTGCCCTGTTTTTGGATACAAAACTCCCACCATACCAGTTCCCCAGTGCATTGAATAAAGAAAGATACACTGGTCCATTCCAGAGTTGAGTATAGGGACGTGATTCCTTCACACCCTGCACTGTGGTTGGAGAGAGAGCCCAGACCCTGCCAACCCCGATCTACCATTCCCCGCCCCCCCCCCCCCCATCCCAACAGGGGATTGTGACAGAAATAGCTCTCCTCAGCTATACATATTCATCTATTTCCAGTCTCACGCCCACCTTCCCTGCTACACCCTTTGCCCTGTTTTTGGATACAAAACTCCCACCATACCAGTTCCCCAGTGCATTGAATAAAGAAAGATACACTGGTCCATTCCAGAGTTGAGTATAGGGACGTGATTCCTTCACACCCTGCACTGTGGTTGGAGAGAGAGCCCAGACCCTGCACTCTTTTCACCATCTCCCTGCACTGGGGATGAAGATAATACTCCTAATACTTCTCTCTCCTTCTAGTACAGGGAATGTACCCCATTCCCATTAGAGAAGAAGACAGACCCCAGTCTATTCAAATGTCCCACCTGGATTGGAAGGATGGAATCATCTTACCTGTCATTTTCTCTCTATCCCTTCCTGCCTTCTCATGCTTGGAAGTGAGGGTAAAGACATATCCAGCCACACATTCATTTTCTCTTTGGATTGGGAGTGAATGAGTGGAATGGATGACCAGCTCCTATCTGCCCAGGGGACTTAAGGAAGAATCTCCAGCTTCATTTTTGATTTGAGATACTGTGATGTGGTTTTTTTGAAATGCATACAAAAAGTTACTACTACAAAACAGCCTCTTACCACCCTCTCCTTGCTTACATCCTGTAACTGATCCCAGTTTTTCCTCATTCTTTCTCTTTCCTCAGTATTCATTTTCTTCCATGGTTTTATTTTTAAAGACATTTGAAGTTGCTGTTCTTGTGGATTTTTAAGTACATTTTTTCTGCTGAATATATTCTATATATATAAATATATATATATATAATGTCTGGCTACCTCGTTTTAATTTACTTTTTTTTTCTCAAAACCCTGGAATTCTTACAAGAAAGATTTTGAGACAAACATTTTTGTGCCTAGACTGGAAGGATGCCCCATGGGTTTGTAACTTCTTTTTTTGGTTGATTTTTTTTTTTAAATCTTTCCCT